TTTTTTTACAGTTAAAATCATAATGCATGCATGTCTTATCGCGATAGTAAAATTTTTTATACATTTAAGGATAGTTTCTTTGAAGGTACCGAAAATAGTAAATTTTTAGTAAAATATTCGGTGTTTATTATAATTTTTATGTAAAATCGGAATGCTGCGTGATTTCAATGAAAGTTTTTTTTTTTTTTACTATGTCACTTCTAGCTTCTAATAAAGATTAACGGTCATTTCGATTCTAATGATGATCAAATCATTAAAATATTAAATCGTGTTCTCTTACGACAAATATAAGTGTGTTGTTTTTTGCAATTCGTTCCAATTAATTAACTCAGAATCCTCCTTTTTGTAAAGATGACTAAAGACATTATTGAGAAAGTTGTTAATCACAATGAAATTAGAAATTACGAGAAAGTTTGAAAAGATTATTTAAAAGAGTTTATAACTTTTCCTTTTTTTCAAACTATTTGTGAGCATACTACAGTCAGACCTCTAAGTGGACCACACTTTAATAACGTGCATATGGAGAACATAAGAAAAAGTGCATTTATGGAGGTCAAATATATATTTGGGCCGGCACTTGAGCGTGCATTTAGAGAGGGTGTGCACTTATAGAGAGTGCACTTATAGAGAGTGCACTTAGAGAGGTCTGGCTTTATTGTGTCTCACGCATATTAAATATCGACGGCTCATACATACACTGAAGAAAAATGAAGAAAAGTCATGTATCCAGCGCTCTAAAGGTGTTGAAGATGCTCGTAGTGACCACGAAATGGTTAAAAAAAATGTTAGCAATTTTGGAGGATATGAAAATTACTATAGATTTCAACTATTTTTCATACAAATACATTATAAAAATTGAAGTTTAAATAATTGTGAGATTCTTATATAATGTAATATGCCAACCTTCGATGAAAATAGGCATGTCTCGAAGAGCAAGAAGAACTTTCTTCACTTAAGAAACATGTTAGGCAAAGAAAACTTGATGGACTAGGACATAAGTTTGCAGAAACTCGCCCTACCATCCCTAAGCAGTACGTTTAATGTCAACATGTATTCGTTATACATATTTTCTTTGGCTTCTTATTGATCATTATTTTAAAAATTTTTTGAGTTTTTTTTTGTTAGTCCGAAATGTGAAATTGTTACCAATTTTTATCACATAAATTTTATCACATACTAAAATCTCTTCTGCTATATCGATATCTTTATTAGAATGATTATAAAGGTATGTATGTACTGTACAGTACATGCAAATAACAATTAATGTACTACATTCCGAACACTCTTCTAAAAACAATTATAAAATTCGTAATCTAAATGAAATAATCAAAATGAAAAAAAAATAAAAAAATAAAATTCAATCCGTTAACATCAAAATTATGCGCAAAACAAATATTTTTTTGCTAAGTAAATGTCCTCACATGACTCTCTGTAGTGTTGCCTGTTGCAAAGTCGCAACTTAATCGTTACAGCCTATTTATGTTGTAATTATCACAAAATAAGTCATAAATATTATATTACCGATGTTGCGACGATAAGTTGCAACCCTAGTGGCGCAATAAAAAAGTCGCACTTCATATTTGCAGCAAGCAATACTAACTCTCTGCTTTCATAATGTAACGTGACAGAAAATTTGCTAATAATTTATACGTATAATATATACTGAATTAATTGAATTAATACTGTATATATATATCATATACATACTGTATGTATGTCGTATCTAAAGCTACCATCTATCTGAAGTTGCAACTTTAGATATATAAAGTTGACCTGACTAAAATTAAGCCCCTGAAATTAGATCTTCATACATATAATTCTGGTTAAGTGCAACTTTATATATCTAAAATTGCAACTTCAGATAGATAGTAACTTTAGATACATGTACGTACTGTATGTAGAATGAGTGTTTTTAACAGATAATGGTTCATCACAAGGGGCTTTTTTTTTTTACATGTATTTCCGTTAGTGAAGTGATCTGTGAACTATCATATGAATTACAATGAGTTTCAATCACTCGCTAGAGCATCTGTGAAACACCCATATCTATTATTACACTATTATTACTGTACTGAATAAACCGAATTTTATTATTGGTTCATTAAATTTTTAACTTTAATATTAGTAGTTGACTCCTTAATCATTCTTAACGTAATTTCTTTATAATCGGGTATACAAAACCAATTATTCATAATAAATTAGATTTGAACATAGTTTGTCATATATGCATAATTATTGAATTCATAACGATAGATTTTTTTTTTTTTTTGTTGCCAAAAAATAATATTTCTTTCCTATGACAGATAAAGAATCATTCTAATTTTTTTTGACCCCACCATCTATAGAAATACATTTCTGCATCATTCTTTTCTAATTCTTCTTCACTAAATTGCCATAATTCCAAATATCTTTCTTGCGTAATTCCCATATGATCAGTCAAAATTTGATCACATACATCACGAAACCACACTCCCATATTTAACAGCAATGTAATTCCTGTAGGTCCACCTCTCGGTCCTAATAATACAGGTTTTATAGCAGAATGAATTTCTGTCAATTGGTTTATGTTGTATAAAATATATTCAACTTTTGAACTAATCCTTCCGTTTAGACCTCGAAGTTCTATAGCATCAACAACTAATGATAATTAATTATATTAGCATTTAACAATATTTTGCTTAAAAAATAAGAAATTTGATGAGTATTTACAATTATCCATCAATAATTTAGTATTAGGTGTATTTTTTTGAGGAAACATGTCACATTCTGAGATTTCTATCCAACCTCCACGCTTTGTTACCCTAAATACCGGTATTGTAAATCAAAATATGCATTAATTATTTTTTAAAAAATATATGTATACATAAAAATTACCTAGTCATTTCTGAAAGTCCTTGTTCCCATTCAATGTCAGAAATTTCACATGAAAATCCAGAAATTCTTGTAAAGTCAAATTCACCATCTTCAAAAGGTAATTGAAGTAAATCACCCTTTATGATTTTCGCATTTGGTGGAAAAGTACATGATGATTGTGGATTCAAGTCTGCACCAATAAATTCTGATTTTGGGTATGCAGTTGCCTTAAAATAAGTGATTTTAAAAATGATGAAAATAGGCAATAACACTTAATACAGTAGTAGTATACATGTACATAGAATAACGTCTCACCATTTCTGTAAGCCAATAACCAAATCCACATCTTATTGATTATATATTATGCGAAAATTTTGCTAAGTAAATTATTGAAAAGCTAATAATAATGTAATAGAAAAGAATATAAATATATATTACCCAACTTCCAAAACTTTTCCATTTGTTGTCAAAATATCTTCCACCGGTGAAGAAAATGTACTTCCCCATAAAGTATTTGAAACAAAATTATGTGAAAAATTTAATTCACTAAGAGAAAAATTCGATAAAATACTAGTATCTGATCGAGTTTCTTCTAAAGATTTACTACTAGTTGACCGATAACTTCGTTCACTCGTGCTGCTTGATTTTTTTTTTAACCCTTTATTTTTTCGAAACTTTGTGTTAATATTACCCATTTCTTTTTTTTATTTTTATTTTTTTATTTTTTTATTTTTTAATATATAAGGTATATTAGGTTAATTTAACAAATTTACAAGAAGAAAAAAATTTCTTAAAAGTTTCAAATATGCTTACACTCTTTATAGGATAAATAGTTGTACGAAGTTAGTTAAAATACTAGGAAAATCTATTTGCCGATTACGAATTTAAACTTTTAAACTGATTACGACATAGGGCATTTATCATTTACATGATAACCAAACAGAGCGATCTTATGTATATGCGAAGATTAGTTAGTTACATCATTATAAATACTTACCATTATATAGGTCAAATATATTAGTTAAAAAAGATTTCCATGGTTCACATTTGAACATATGCACAGACACCACGAGACCACGAGATAATGTTATACAATAAATATTATTTTAGTATTTTAGTATTTTAGTAATAAATTTATTCAAATTACATCAGAATTTATCGAATTCTTAAAATCTTAGTACTCACTTTTTTCCTTTTTACTTTTTATAATTATTACACGGAAATTTTTTTCCACAAATATTTGTTCTTGGCAAAATTTTTAAATTTTTTACTAATTTAAATTTAGGATATCCGCAGCTACTGCACCTTATTCATTATCTCAATATCAATGTTTTTTTTTTGTGTAATAATTTATTGATATTCCTTACGTATGTACGTATGTACGCAAGTCGTACTTGCGTATGGAAGATAGTACATATCGATTATAGTTTGCTACTCAATAAAAAAAAAAAAAAAACAAGTAAATAAAATAATTTAATTCAAACTTCGTACGTACCTAAATAGAGTTACCTAAATCTAACATTTGAAACATTATTGATTAGAACATTTGACATAATACATAATGATGTATTAACAGCATTATCTAGTTAAATATAGCACAAACCACCATTTATCCGATGTAATAATTATAATAATTGAATTATTTTTCAATTATTTATTGGTTTGTGCGTACATATTCAATAAACGCGCATGCATGTAACGTTACAAGAAAACATGCAATTTAGGCATATTTATGCGCACTTAATTAGAAAGTTTTACAATTGTTCGGGTATTGGAAATTTTAATTGATCCCAACCTTATAAGATCAAATTTCGTGATATTAGGTAATTCATGTAATTACAAACAATTATTTTGATCTTTAAATAGAATGCTCTTTTTGTGGTCCCTTTGTGTTCTATTTTTTTTGATAATTGTATATACCCTATATCTGGGACACTATGTTTTGTGTTTTTTCGTAGGTATTTTTAGTCCGCGCTGTACGATAATAGTAACCCTTTTACTTATCGATACCTATTATTATATTTGCGTGTTTGCTGTTTTGATAATTATTATTTCGCGAAAACTAGGGCACTAATGCAAGAGGATCCCCAAATTTCCGGGCCGGAATGACCGGAATGTATCGGGGTTAAGGTTAGCTATACTGGTTAGCAAGATCTATACTAAAATTCTTAGTGATCTTGGGCAAAATTGACCCATCCGACCAAGGTTCTGATGCAATCCGACCCAGAATTTTGGGGATCTCCCTGTATGAGTTCACTTCTGTTCGGGATTAGTCACTTAGTCGACTTAGCCAGCTAAGTCGGTCGATTTTTGGAAGATTGGTCTAGTCGGCCATTCGGTTAGGTTTGTAATTTCGGCATAATAATAATAGATTCAATAAAATTACAAAATTATACTGGTATGTATGCGTGTACGTTATGTACGTAACTTTTACATTAAATAGTGCAATGACAAAAAAGTTTTGCCACCATTACTAGACTGGCCAATATTTATTCACATAACAAAAATTATATTAATTTTGACCTCAAAAACTTATACAAAAATTTACGCAAAATTATAGTAATTTTCCAACTCTATACCGTACCATTTCGAAATTAAGCACCACCAATTTTTTTGAATCTCAGATTAGCGGGAGTAATTTGGCTAAAGATCTTATTATAAATTTCGATTAAAAAATTGGGGTAGAGGGGGTGGTGCTTAATTTTGGAATAGTACGGTATATGAAAGATATATATGAAAAACATGTTACATATAATACTTGATCTACAGTTAATTTTATCATTATAAATGTCGACACGTTCAATGTTATTAAATTTTTGGTTGAATGTTTGGTGTGTTTAGTTTGTGCTAAAACTTATGGGAAAAGCTTATGGAAAAGGCTAAATATTGACAGGAAATAAAAAAGGCTTCAGATATGAAATAGACATTCACAATAAACATATTACACGAGATATGGTCAAGAATTTTGTTGACTAGTTTAAAGATATGGCTCAAGATTCAGTTCAAAAAATCTTGATTTTATTAATATTTGTCGTAGAAGTTTTCAATATATTCATATCTTTGAAGGTGCTTGAAAACTCGACTTATAATAACATCTAAGTGTTTGCAATTTTATCGGTATAATATTTATATTAATCATCTGATATTAAATTACATATGTATCGTAACAATTTATAGAATCTATTATGCCGAGATCACTCACTTAATCGAATCGGTGTTTCAGGAATATCCGGATAATTCAGATCGCTCAGATATCCGGATAATCCGAAAGGTATTCGAATAATTATCCGGATATCAATAGTAAACGAATATCTGAATAAATTCAGATCCGGATATCTGATATTATCGCTTACAGCTGATTTGAAAATTATGGCAGATCATAATGAATTTAACTTATTGCACGGGTCTTATTTCATTTACTTATTGGCACGGGATTGTTACGTCAGACACTGTGCAATAAGATAGTTATTGTATGGGTATGTTGAATAACCCAGTTACACACACGGGTTCATATTTAAATCCGTGCCGAAGGCACGGAATATG